TTTTCAACTGACAATAATATTAAGACTACCTATTTATAAACTAAATTATTTGGTAAACAAATCTTATAACCACAAAAAATTTCGTAATAACAAACTAATTTATAAATACTAAAACTACTACAATTTGTTTCCAATAGAATTACTAAAATCTTAACTTGACTAAAACTCTGCAATTTAATAATATGAGACTTGTTTTAATATACCAACATTGCCTCGCTTAAATCAAACTATCCAATCAATCAAGTTCACCACCATCATTATAAATAATCTCTTTGTCAAATTCTGACAACATCACTTTGTATGGTTCTTCCTTGTTGCAATAATCCATGTACTTGAATAGATTGTTGAATAGATGATTTTCATCACATAATATGTATGATGTCAATTTATTGACAACTCACTTTGTAATTTTAATAATCGCAAGCAATTCAACTAACAGGATTGTTCTCTGGTCTCTATCGCAATACTGCAATCAATATGACAATTTTCAAACCAATTTTATGGTTCAATATTCACCTGCCGGATACTTCAAGATTAGCCTTGTGATCTAACTCGATCAACTGACTTCTTCACCTATGCTCTAATTTTGACCGTAGAAAACTCCCAAAACTAAGTTTCTAGTCAGGTCAATTCTTCAATGTTTATAAGCGCTCAGGATCAATTTTTTGAACCTACAGCTTCAATACTAGTTGTAGAATCCAAAAAATTCCAACAAGAACATATAGTAGATGAATTTCATAAAATTAATGTATATGGGGAGAAGCAATTTCCACACAGATTGCAAATGAATCGAGTCAAATCGAGTTTTAACTTAATCAAGTCGAATCTCGACTCAATTTTTCCAAACTCGTGTTGGATGACCTCTCAATATAAAGTTTGAGGTCGAACTTGACTTAAAATGTGAGCCGAGTTGAGCTTTAGATCGAGCCTACTCGAGCTTAAAAAAATTAAAAAAATCGTAATTTTTCTTAACAAATAACAAAATATTATGGACATATATACATAATTTCACTATTAAAATAAAAAGTAATATTGCGAGCTAATGAGCTAAGTTTTTCTGTGCTGAACCTCAACTCTAATTTGATGTTGATCGAATTCGAGTTGAGTTTTGATTGCACCGGCTCTCAAGTGCTCACGTGTAACTTGACTCGTTTGCAACCCTACATATAAGTATGTTTGGGAGAAGATGAATAATACTAACAATATATCAATAATCATACTTAATAATAACAAGGCTATCAATTCTTAACTCTTCTCAATTGGCAACAATATATTATCAATTCTTAACTCTTCTTAACTAACAACAATATTAAGACCTATTTATAGACCCTTTCAATTGACAACAATATTAAGACTCCCTATTTATAGACTAAATGACTTGGTAAATAAATCTTACAACAACAAGAAATTTTCTAATAGCAAACTAATTCCTAAATACTAAAATTACTATAATTTAATTTCAATAGAATTACTAAAATCTTAATTTGACTAAAACACTGCTATATAATAATATAAGGAGAAGAAGCGGGGATAGAGAAATTGGTCAACTCATCAGAGGGCTAGCTTACAGGCTAGGCCTCTCTCTAACCTAAAAACTAGTATTATCAAAAAATTTCTATTTTTTGACTTGATTTAATATGCCAAATGGAATTTTCTTTTTTGAAGTTTTTCTTACATATGCTCTTAATACACCTTTTTCACATTTAATTTTGAGCGAGTACATACCCCTATTTATATTATATCTTTTATATTCAAACATCACGGATTTAATTTTACTTTTAAGAAAAATATCAGTATCACAATCCATAACTCATTCTAATAAATGCCTTCTATAACCTTTTTTTTTTTTTTTTTTATAAGTGGGAGGTTTCAAATTCGAAAACTCTCACTTATACTGCCTTTCCCTGTGACACCTAATCCATTCATTTTCCCTTTGACAACTCCTTTTTTTTTTAGTAGCATCACTCACACTTTATATTTGGATATCACCCAATCTATACCTCGACAATCCACTTGACAAATCCTTTTCAAGAAATATATTTTAGGAAAGTAGAAAGCTAACGTGAATCATTGAGTTGGAATATTCTATGAAGAATGTCCAAGTGTTCAATGGATGATGATGCCTTGCCTTCCTCGTCCATTGTAAATAGACTGCACCATATAAGCTGGCGGTCACATGTTTAAACTCCCAAGAAATAAACTGCCCGCTTACGTGTTTCATTTTTTTTATATCCAAAATTTCGATTGACTATTATTTGTAGCATTTTGCATTCGGCGCTGGACATGCACATGAAGCCTCCTTAATCATGGAAATAAAGCAAAAGACAGCCAACAACTCCTTGTTTTTAAGCTATTCTAATGCCTGTATCTATCTCGTAGGCATGTCATGATTTTGTACGAGAGAAGTGAAATAGAAGATAATTCACCTCTTTGTTTTTAGCAATACTTTTCTATATTTGTATTTATTGCACAAGCATGTCATGATTTTGAGTTGCTTTTTTGTGACTAAATACCTAGACATCCCATCTTACATTACAATCTTGATTGACACTTGATTTATTTTCTGTGACTGGAACATATTTGTTGCATTTGAAACAAACCTCACTATAAACATTTGCATGCAATATAAAATTTCCATTACAATTAGTTTTATTGAGCCCAATTAATCACTAGAATTGGCCCTGTGATCAAGGGACTCGGGGCTGCAACCGTCCCTGCCAATTTTAGCTCATTTCAACTGCGCGTAACATTGGTTCAACTGCGCGTAACTTTTTTTTCACAGGATGTATTTTCACAACAGATAGTGATGGCCCCACACTTGACGCGAATTTCTAGTTACATGGTGTTATTTCAGCCGCACAAAATTTTGAGGGCCAATTTTCAGCCGCACAAAATTTTAACCGTGCAGGGACGGTCATACTGATGACCGTCCCTGCCCCAAATCCATGATCAAGAGAGAGCTCTTAGGGGTCTCTTCACTGTCACGTTCAGCGTCCAAATCATGGATGTGATACTGTAAGACCGGAAAAGATACTAGTGATAAGTGTCAAACCACCAAAATTAAAATTCCTACTTTAAAAATTTAAATTCAAGTATAGCGGCGAATAGAGTTATCTACTCGGGAAGTGGATGATTCATTTCCTTCTAAAACACTAAATAAAATGGAAATTTTTGGAAATTTTAAAAATAATTAATTAGAAAAGTAATTTGTGAAAATAAATAGGAATTAAATCAACGATACATATGATTCTAGTCAAAAGTGTAACTTTTTATGTATGGTTCACACAACTAATCATCGATGCAAAAATAGTTTAATTATTAATTAATAGATTGATTATAACTATTAACAAACACCGACAATCAACTTTTCTTTACTTCATCGATACTCAATGTACGGCCCTTAACTATTTATCTAACCAAAAAATAACCTTGGCTATGACTATATGACTTAATTTCCTAATTGCATTAGAAACTAGAAAAATTCAACCCTAACTAACAAACACGCTACGAAAGTTTGTTTAAATTAGATCATGCGTTTTCCTAATATGAAATCAATCACGCTAGTTGCCACTAGTATCAACTAATCAAACAATTATAGATTTAATCGATTAATATGACAGTAGGTTATTAGATTAATTTGAATATCGGACCCTTTGACAATCAAATAACGAAACAATCATAAGAAATTAAATTAGAAAATACATGAATACCAATGAATTAAAAGAAATAATAAAAAATCAATTTGATCTCACGGAACCGTGTTTTCAAATTGATCCTTGACTAGAAAAGAAATTAATTGTTCGTCACGGAGAAAAATTCCAACGCAAAAGATGAAGTATTACAAGGTCGTCCCGTCTTTTCACAAAGATAAAGATGAAGATGCGATGTAATGTTTCCTGGTTGGAGAATATAAAAGCCAAACGTTCTCTTTTTCCTCTTGTCTAATTAGTTTCCTAGTTTCTAGCTATCAAGATCAGGAGAATCCCGGTTGACAAAGGAAAGCCTAAAAAGATAACCTATTACAAATGATTCCTATTATGAATTGGAAACGTCTCTGGAAGAAATATCACGTTCACACTCCAACTCAACGATCGCAACTGCTTTAGTAACTCCGATGTTTGCATCGGAATCCTGAGTTTCTTTAGTAAACCTGCCAATTGCAGAAGTTTCTTTCCTTCTGTCAAATGTGAATGCGCATTCGACTTTCAAAGCCTACCTTCACAGATGCTTCTAACGCTCGGAAGTTGGAAACTGCCAAGAATTCATGTAGAATGCCCTCAACTCAAATGTGTTGGAAAGATGCTGCACTTATTCATCTCCTTTTGCTAGTGGGACCAGGAGACAGTAAAGCTTGCTAACAATTGCAGCCTGAAAAATATGAGGAAGAAGTTTCCTTGGAAAAGAGAAGTGTGTGGGGCTGAAACAATTGGAAAAGAGAAACTCTCGTTTCTTGACAACTTGGTCGGCTCACGGGGTTTTTTTCATTGAATTTTTTATAGCTTTCAATTATCAATATATATAGTTCAATTTTTATACGCTAATACAATTAATTGCTGCAAAACGTAGCTTTCACCTGTACGTATTTGTGTATAAATAATATCTTTTCATTATCGTTTTGAATTCACATTTCGCTTCATTTCCTAGGTCCTTCTTTCCCGTTTTGGGCATTTACAAGTTGATTGGGACAAGAATTAAATTGGCATTACTAAGGAAAATACTCGACAAGTTTTTTCCTTTTTTTTTTTTTTTTTTTTTTTTGGTAATCTTGGTGGGATTTGTTGTATTGCATAAAGGCCCTCGAATTCTCGATTAATAAGGCAATAATCCTCTCCTAACCCAAGAATTAAGTGGAAAACCCCCAACCACAGCTCCCCGCCCACTCCATCCAATAAAATATACATGTACATACTTAGCACCTACTTCTTACCATTATAAAACCATCTATAAGTTACAATCAGGATTCACCAGGCTGCACAAGGGTGACAAATCAATTAAATTTAAAACTTAGAAGGGAAGGAAGAGTGAAATACACACAAATAATTAGTAAATCAGATCTCTTTTTTTAAAGGCTTCGAGAGTTTACAGTGTCTCCAACAGGACTCCAAGGCACTCTACAACTGCTGACCCCGATAACAAAACTTCCACCGGAGAGCCCATATCCACCATCGCTTCTGCTGAAAAAGCTGGCTCAGGTGAGCTTAATTCAACCACCCCATCAATTAAACGAAGAATACAAGAGTAGCCCATGTTTCAATTTCCTGAAATCTAATCAGTAAATTTTTTTGTTGATGTTTTTGTCATAATTCAGACATGGTCTTTAGGAGATTTTTTGGTATGATGATTGGCTGCCTCGGATTAAGTGATCAGCCTACACTGCCATCTCCTTCTGAGGCTGCTGAAACACAGCCATTAGATCTAGCTGAAGTAAACAAATCACCAAGAATCAGGCTGAGTGATGGAAGATACTTGGCTTACAGAGAAGTGGGAGTCCCCAAGGATAAGTCCAATTTTAGAGTAATTTGTGTTCATGGCTTTGGCAGCTCCAAAGAAATGAACTTTTTAGCACCCGAGGTATCAGCAACTTTTTACTGATCTGAATCTTTTTGATTGATTGAATGAATGGATGTTTCATCGTTTACCCGTCCCAAAAGTTTACTTTTTGAATGTAATAAAGGTTTTGGGTATTGCATGTTTGTCAAGTTTGGAATCGTGCTTTGAAATTTTATAGGCGTAACATGAAACGGTTGAAATTAATGTCAGCTTGCTTGAAAATTAGATTGATTGGCTAGTTTTCAGTGTTAACTTGTATTATGCAAAGGGGATTTTATCTATATCGGATGATTAATAGTTCTTGCGGTTCTAGGCTGTCATGTTTTACAGTTCTCTAGATTTGGTTTGCCATGAATATCTTTATTTCATGTGGCACGATTGTAGTATTATGCAGGTCTGCTTTAAGTTTCTGTTCCAAAATGTTCATAGTACAGATGGATGGTATTGGGCTCCAGGGTTTCAGTAGCCGAACTTTGAATATGAAACGCAGATTAAATAAGTCTGCATTTTCACTGTTCAATTTGGAATCATCAATCTTGACTAGCTCTGTTTTGTAAGTTATGGAGGAAATTAGCCTTTTTGATTTAGCAACACAAAGTAATTTACTGATTTAATGATATATGCAATTTACAAGGGTCAAGATAGTGCAGTTAATCTGGTTGTTTTGTGGAATGATGATGGAAGAGTGTAACTTTATACATGTGATGGAATGACTCACTAATGAATTGTACCACTTTCAAGATTGACATACAACTAATATTAATAACAAGTAACTTTGTGTTTCTCATTTGACTAAGATAATACAAAATGTATAGATGGGGTGGCCTTTACATTTGTCCAGTGAACCATTGTTTCATAAAGATTCATTATATGGAACAATCTCATTGTGTACTAGTCTCCAGGAACTAATGGATGAGTTGGGAATATATTTCCTCTTATTTGATCGAGCTGGATATGGGGAGAGTGATCCAAATCCAAAACGCTCAGTAAAAAGTGAAGCATCTGACATTGAGGAACTAGCTGATCAGCTAGAACTAGGACCCAAATTCTACGTAATGGGAGTTTCTTTGGGTTGTTATCCTGTCTGGAGTTGCCTCAAACGTCTACCACATAGGTTAGAACTCACCTCAAAAACGCCTTCAGCAGTTGTCGTTCCTATTTCAAACCAGCAAATTTTACATGTATCTATGATTTATGAGATGCAGGCTAGCAGGTTCTGCGCTCATAGTCCCTATGATCAATTACAAGTGGCGCACTCTTCCAAAAGATCTGGTAAAGGATGACTACCGGAAGAACCTTTGCCGATGGATTATCTGGCTTTTACGCCATACTCCTGGACTGCTACATTGGTGGTTGACTCAAAAAGTTTTCCCCTCATCCAACGTTCTTGATAAAAACCCTGCATTCTTTAGCTCGAAAGACCTAGAATTCTTGAGTAACACTAAAGGATACCAGTTTATTTGCTCAGGTAATTTTCTTTGTGCAAATTGTTTAAAAGAGAAGGGAAGTTTGTTCTTACAACAATATCCTAAGCAAGGCACTAGTCTGTTGTATCCTTTTGTAAAGCTGATGAAAGATTGACCATCTCATTTTACCTATTTGTACAGAATGGATTTAAGGATCGCCACACGTTTGAGTCCATTCGCAAGACTGCATTGTGGCCTTTGGTGGTGGGACTTTGAACCGATGGAACTAACTAATCCATATGCTGAGAATGAAAGCTCTGTTCACATCTGGCAAGGTTGCGAGGACAAGGTTGTGCCAGTTAAATTGCAAAGGTATGTTTCAGAAAGGCTGCCCTGGATTCGGTATCACGAGGTTCCTGATGGTGGGCATATGCTTGTGTATGACAGTTCGGTATGTGCAGCAGCCATCTTGAGGTCTCTTTTGCTTGGAGAAGATCTCCAGAATACAAGCCTTATTAGCCAATCAATTGTTGGCTTGTTCTTGTAATCAAATTGATCATTCTGTAAGTAAACTGGATCACAAAGTGACATTATTTGTTTGAAGGAGCTTCCAGTAATGGCGGATATGTTTTCTATATTAAACTGTACATAAGCTAACCAAGTCAAGGAAAAAGGAACAGGGGCTTGAATTTCTTTTCTTTTCTTTTTTGTTCTTTAATATATATTTTTTTAACATCACCTAGAAAGCAGTAATGTTTCTCTTTTATTTGTCTACCATTCTTGTCGTGTGCAAGTTGAAATAGGAACTTGTAAGTGGTCAACTACTGAAATAGAACAAATGTCACGTCTCTGATGTTATAATTTTTGTTTGCTTCCATTAATTTCTATTGTTGTTTGGGCGTTTTTTGTCCTTTTCTTTTTGGTGGTGGTGGTGGTGGTGGGGGGATTGTCTGTCCTGAGAAGAGGAAAACTGGAAAAGTGAGATGGACCTCAAGTTTTTTTCGTTTGGGAGGCGGAGGGGGGGAGGGGGTGGGTGTTGGGGTGAGGACCAAATGTTTTGCTGCAATCTACACCCATGTCAAGCATTTACAATACCAAAAGATTGGGTGTAGATGATCAAATAATCAAAACCTAATTGTGTTCAATGAATATTATTGACTCGTGCATTTATTATCTTTTGCCAAAGATGTCTCAATTCAACCGGATTAAGAACATCAACTCATTATTGCCATTGAATTTATTCACAGGCTCACCGTCAAATTTCTTCCATCATACGCCTACAAAATCCTGCAAAACAACAATACATCAATCCTAGGATTTTTTTTTTTTCCAAACGATAACATTGTATTAAGCATAAACGGGTACAGAGTCAGAGCAACTGCTCCTGTAAATCCGCCTGAGCTAATTCACAGCCACGCTGGGAAGCTAAGCTTCCATTCAGCTACATCAATCAGTGTTATAGCAAACTTTGCTAAATAGTGACTTACATAGTTGTTGCTCCTTCTAGTATAGAAAAACAACATTTATCAAATTCTTTCATCAGCCTCCAAATATCCAACTGAATTATGGCTATGCTGACTTCCTCCTCCCTTGCATTGATTTTGTCCACTACTAGCTTACAGTCCGATTCCAGCTCACTCCACTTTTCTCCATCCCATTCGTTTAGCTAGTACCATAGCTTCTCGTATTGCCAGAGCTTCCTCCACCTGTGCCTCAGCACAGCCTTCAGTTGGCCTCGCCCATGAACCTACCAGTTCCCCTGAACCGTTCCTGGCCACTATACCCCACCCTGCCTTGTTAAGTTTTTGGTCCAAAGCTGCATCAGTGTTGAGCTTGATCCAGCCAGCTTGCGGTGTATCCCATCTCCTGCCCTTCTCCTGCTCTCCAACTACCAGGTTGTCATGTTTTGCTCCCCCCCCCCCCTTGTGCCAGTTGAAACTCATTCCATTCCATTAGTGCCTTGTTAATCACCACCATAGGCTCACTGCTCCTGTTATTGAACTGCTCATTATTCCTGGATTTCCAAATCTGCCAGAAAATGTTTACCGTGAGAGTTATGTGTTCCCTTCCTCCCCTCGAGCCACAGCCCCCCCAAGTTCTTCCCACCAATGCCAAAAGTTATTCCTAAACTCCTCCAATCCATCCCACCTCAATGGTGCCACCTTCCAAATTGCTCTAGCATTACAGCACAGAAAAAACATATGCTCTAATGTCTCAGAGCTGTCTCCACAGCACTTGCACGCATGGTCCCCCTTACCACACTTTCCCTTCACCACTGTGTTAGTTGGCAGTATTCCTTGCAAACATTTCCAGATGAAGTGTTTATGAGTTTATTTGGCATGCTCAAGCCCCACAGAAAACTCCAGTTTTGAGACTTGATCGTCCTACTAGTACTTGGTTCTGAAGTTCCTCCATGTTGACACTGTCTTCTCCATTTCCTTGATGAGATAAATTAAACCAGTATTTTTAAAATGCAAGACTAAGATTATTAAGCATGGTATAATATTGTTCATACTGACAAATTTGTGATTTTTGCACCTTATTTACCCATCAGATTACAAGCTTCCTAATTTTTTTTTTTTGGTTGATGAAAAAGAATTTTATACTCCATAGAAAAAAATAGGGAAAACATAAAAGTGCTCTGCGAAACACCCCTTTTCAAAGTGCTCTGTTCGTATGATACAAGCAACTGCTGCAAATCTGAGCTGCCACTTAGTCGTAACAATTTTAGGGTGAGTTCTTTATTCATTGAAATTGCATATCTTTATTCAAATGGGTTTTTGAGTTGTTTTTTTGTTTCTTGAATTCTTGCCCACATGCGACACAGTTTTTGACTTGAAAAATATCAAATTCTCAAATGGGTCATGCATATTTTCATCAGGTATCCTGTAATTTTTAATTTTTGTGGCTCTGATGATTATATGAGATTCCCTTCTTCTTGCGTAGAAGTAGCTGCAGGTATTGTGTGGATTTTGATTTCATATAATCATTTGCATAAGGGATAATTACATAAACCTCTCTGGAGGTTTTTGATAATTTCACTTATTACTCTTAAAGGTTTAAAAATAATATCACTTACCTACCATATTTTCAATTTTTGTAACTTTCTCAACCCAATTCAAATTATATGATTAAAATACTCATTTTACGAAAGAGAAAATAATTTCTTTCCAATAATGCCCTTCATCGCCTTAATTTTTTTAATTGTAAGTATAATAATTATATGTTTAAAATAAGGACAAAAAGCATGAAAATGTTCTTTTTTTTTTTAAAGGAACAACATATAATAATTGCAACCATAAAACAATATGCTTTTTTAAAGTACAAACAAATAATAAAATTTTGTTTAACATGTTTTCAAATTACAAAGTAATTTTTTTCCTTTAATGTTTGTCTATTTGGTAATCTAAGGTCACATAGTAAGAAATAAACCTGATATTATTGTTATTATTATTTTTTGAAAAAATGTAGATTTCTTCTACAAATGTTTTGTAATTTAGGAGGTTATCATAATTTAAAAACTTCAGTGTTTGTCCAATCTTTATTTATCCATATGTTTATCACATGCTCTTAGATTATCGAATGAGAAAAATATTTCTTTTTATGTAAAATGTTTTGATTGAATCTAATATGAATTGTTTAGAAGAATATTTAGTTTTTATTTATTTGAATCAATGTCTTGAAGATTTAGAAAAAATTTAAATTATATTTAGAATTTATTTGAGTTGTTGTTTAGAAGATGAAAAAAGTTATTTTTCACATCTTTACAATATTTCAAATAGTTTTTACATACTTTGTTAATTATTTATGATTTGTCAATTTAGAATTTTGTATCCAAATTATAGATAAGATTTGTTAAAGGATTTCTCAACTCTAAACTTATAATTTTTTACTAAAAAACACATTCATCAAGTTTTAACAAATATGAAAGGATTTTAAATTGATTTGTCATTACAACTAAGGAATCACAATGGAAGGTCAACTTTGGAACGAAACAACTTTCGCTTTAAATTGAGAGAATGTTACAAAAATTTGAAACTAAGGGGATAAGTGATTTTTTAAAACTTTAAGGGAGCTAAGTGAAACTATCAAAAACTCCAGGGGAGATTTCTGAAATTATCCCTTGAATTTAATCTTTTGGATTATTCCCGACATTCTTCTAGGCCTAAAAGGTTCTCTTTTCTACTCTAGAGAAAAGTTGGTTGGCCTTCTGATGTAATCCTTATTTCTCATTTTTTTGGTAGAAATTTCTCATATTTTATGAGCATGCTTCACACACTCATGAGAGCTGTGAGATCAAGAAGTAACGTAGGAGTGATATCATACTCGATGAAAGGTGGTGCAAATTCACTGGAGATTGCGAAATGGGGTTTGAGAAATCTTGGGGACTGTCCAGAACATGCGGAGGAGAATGCTATGATTGTTAAACTGGACCTGAAGAAGCAAGTGTGCATTTCACTTTTGGTTGCATGGGTTAGTATCTGTAAAAAAACAAATATATTCAGATTGATGTCTGTTACATTCTTCTGCAAGATATCTTTTTATTAGGATCATTAAATGGTGGATATTATTCCTTTCCATGGGCTTATATCTTGGAACTTACTTCTCTGTCCTTTTGGATGGTTTATCTTAATGCTGCACTCAGTGAACTGATACTACGTATAATCATATTTGTTCGCAGGCAATCTTTGATCAATTCTTATAGTCAAGTCATTTTTCTTCGATTTTGACTTTTGAAAATGCTGATAAAGTTTTCTTTTCCAATTCCTTTTGGCATCTAAAGGAGGTAATTCCCGTTTAGCTCATAGAGTATTTGTTCAAGTGAAATATATTCAGTTTTTCTGAACTGATGGCTTGTATAATTCATCTATTCAACTGCTGTTCTGTTAAAAGACATGTTGTTTTATTTCCTTTTATTATTTCTTTATTTGCTTTAATGATTCTACATATCAAGGAGACTAGATCAACTATTGTGGAGTCCAGTGCAACTAAGAAGATGGAGATGTCTTTGAGGCTGAAATTTGATGATTCTGTTGAACTTGCTACAAGTTTATAAAGCCTGCTCAACAAATGAAGAGTAGGCTGCATGTGTGGTGTTATGGTTTCAGGTATAGTTTTACTTTATTGAGAATCTGCTTGGTGATAGATTGCACTCGTCTGACTCTAGGTGTTTGGATATGATCAGCAGTTATAAACTTGGTGTTTGGCTTGATATATGTGGGGATGCAGCTTTCTATATGCTATATCAAACATGCTGCCTCTTTTTCCATCTCATTATATCCCATATCACTTTTCACTTTGCTGTGCATTAGGAAAATGTATACTGATTAATCTAAGTGAGATAAGAGCAGCACTGTTCTGCATTTTGAAGTTCTCTTAAACCCGCATCAGTATTACAACAAATATTTTAACATTTGTTCTATCACTGCTGCTGCTAACATCAGTATTTTGAGGAATATTGTCATCTGTCACTGATACTCTTGTGAAACATTAAGTAATCAGGAACAAGCATTTTTCTCTTTCATTAGTTTTCCTTTCCTGGTGCTGTTAGGTAAGGTATTGTCAAGGGAAACCGTAGATGATCCAGAAGAAGGTTATTTGTGTTAGCGTCAGTAATTACAGAGGAATTCTTAGGTTGCTTTTTCAAAGGTTATCAGTGGAAGGCACAAAACACTAGCCGAGGCTCGAAGATATTGAAAATACTTTTCCATCAGGAAAATATAACAAAAGATGAGTAAACCAAACTATGTTTGTGAAGAATTTCGTAGGGCTTGTTGAGGATGCTGATCCATGTTGAAGTCTACTTCAACTGTTCATAAGTGTTTGGAAAGGGATACAAAAAGTTGAAAACAAGCAAAGCAAGACAAAATGTTAGAAGCACCAGTTCTTGCATTAAGTTTCCAATAGGTCATGCTTGCAATTTTGCATTGTCTCTCAACCATATGCTAAGGGTGTGGAAATTTTATAGGAGTATGAAGGATGTGTGACATTCAGACATTGAGATCAGAGAACAGTGCTTGAAGAATTCTAAACATGGAAAAGTATGATTAGCAATATTTGCAGAAAAATCAGAAAGATAGAGATGACATGGGCAAATGAGTAAATTGGAGATATAACTGATTAGCTGGGAAATTGTTGTGTGATTGTTGGGGCTTCTTGAAATACAACAGATTGAGTGGTAACCACAAAGAACAGTGCTACAGGGCATCTTAAGAGTAAAACTCGTAATAATATGTTGTTCTTCTTTACACATTTCCTATTTAAAGATTTCATACGAAGTTGATGAATGGGCTTCCAATTTTGAAGCATTTCTGGATGTATATTCACCAAGTTTACATTTGATTCAGTGTGTCATCAATTCCATTTGTCCATTTGCATTCTGCATGATGGACTTGTGATGGGAGAAGTTGCACAAAGCAAGGTGTTTATTTCTCTGTTGTTCCTATTTCATTGCTGAGAAATTGGAGTAGTGGCAAAGAAACTTCCATTGCAAGGTTTTAGGGAGACAAGCTGTTTAAACTAATTACCTGTTATCCCCAGTGGAATATAGGGCTCTTCTTAGACATCAAGAATATTCATGGGCTCTATTCTGCTCTTGCAGAAATAAATGGGTTTCAGGACTTGTAGGAGAACTAGAGGCACTAAGGAGGGTAACAGGCAAGAAGTGCGGATTGTAATGAGATCATTGGAGAGTTAAAGAAATAGACCTGCTATATCGTGTGGGTTATGGTGAAGTATCATAAGAACTTGGGTTGGGTTTCTGTTAATTTATTGAAACTTCTATAGAGGGCAGAAGAAGGTACGCTGTGCAAAGAGCAGTCATGGAGAATTTCTTGGTTTGTTCTGCATACCAACTATCAAAGTAGCAACTGGAGCAATATCAAGGAGGAATGTAGGAATCGGAAGATGAGGGCTTTGGAGTTCAGATTAGGATGTCAAGAATAGGAGCTGCGACCTTCCCATGGTTTGTCATCTAAGCGCTACAATTGCAAATCAGGACAAGTGGATATGTAGAGGAAAGATTCATAAATGTTTATTGTGAAACCTGATTGCATCATAAATTAGAAGGAAGACTAGAAGAGCATGGATTTTTGACAATTGAAGCTTCCAAGAAAAAAGTTGTTTTCAATGCTGCGCAGCTTAGCTGGTGATTCTGACAGAACGAATTTTTGGCAAGGAAAATGGGGAAGACAACCAATTGCTGCAGCACCTTAGATATGTTGACGACTTAAGGAGCATTGGGAAATCTTCTCCATGTTCTGTTTTAGTGGGCAATACTTTAGTTAGCCCAGGAAAGGTGCTGAAAGAACATTGGGAAACATTCAGCAGTCCTTTGGATGATAGGAGGAACATAACGTAAGGTTTTTCAGAGAGAAAGATGAACATTGTGGGCTTCATTAGCTTGCACAGTTGCTAAAACTTAATCTTTGTAATATTTGTTGATCTGAAAATATTTTGTGTTAGTGGAGATAGCCATTGTGGAAAATTTGAGGAGAAATAGTATTGCAAATGTGAGATTACATGTGATTTTGTTTAATAATATTGTTCCTTTTTTTGGGGGTTGGGGGGGGGGTTATGATTCAATTAGTCGCATTCGGTATATGTAGGACATTTTTGACTATCTACTAACTTGGAGGTTGACCATGAAAAATCACCCCTTTCCAGTATTGCTTGTACTTGGAAATAAATGGGATCAGACCTAGAGATTTACTTTCAACACCCCCCTTTAAAACCGAACCCCCAAATGCAAAATTGAGCTGCAGCAGGCATGCAGAATTTGATTTAAATGTTCACTTATTTATGGATATGGATTTACAAAATTTGTGCATTGAGGACCTGAGACCTATTTCAAACATAATTGTTGTCTTAGTGTGGGATATACTAAAGTTTCACGATCACCTTGATTAAAGAACATGACATCCTTTTCGCTCTAAATACAAGACATTCTCACCTATGGAGCTGCTCTAATGCCAATTTGTCAGGCCAGTGAACTTGGTGGTGTGACCACAAGTCAACCAGCATAACTGAATCTGATTTTGGTATTATGTTGCACACCAGATATCTTATGCTGCAAAGCAGTACTGTGGCTCATACTTGTAAGACATTCCAAATCTTCTCCATTCCAAATCTTCTCCTATTTGATGCAGTTCTCAGACTCTCCTCGTCAAAGAAATTAGATTGGATGTCCTTGTAGTGCCCTGGCACTGATAGAGTTCTTTTAAGAGGTTGGTTGTCTCCCCTTGGATTGAGTGCAATAGCATGGGTAACATCACCGGGTTTGTTGGGTCTAGGTGTGACAAAATGGTAGTGGAGCAGACCTGTAATACAAGATGTTTACAGGATGAACTTTTCATTTGTTTCTATACTTTGTTGCCTGCCACAATCTCCTGCATGATAGCTTCTCCTGTCCTACTGGTTGGCATGGTCAGCAATAAAAGAACTGGATTGCTTTACTTGTGATCAAGAACTATGTAGGATGTTTCTACCTTCAAATAATGGTGTAAGCAATGTTTTCTTTTTTTAGGATCCTACAAAAATGATAATCATCCTGTAGAAACTGTCTTTGTCATCTTACTTGGATGATATGTTTCCAAATTATGGAGTAATAGATCACAAATTTGTTCCGAATTATGGGTGACTATATCCTGAACCTTCAGTTAAAGTTTTCAAAAAGAGGAGAGAAATTTATATTGAGAAAGTTGTAAATAAGTGCCACTGCATGGTGGTTCCTTGAGACAATATAGTACTTGCTTGAAAACTTTGTTTCTGAGTAGTTTATTGATCAATTTGAGACTTTTTTGTGCAGAGAAACAATATGATTGATTCAAAGTTTGGATATGCTATTAAAACTTGCAGAGGTAGAGTAAATAACATATTTGGGACATCTTGCTTGGACTAGGATTTCTATCATGTCTTCAATCTTGGTTGGAAACTTTTTATCGCTTTTTGGTTGAGTTGTGTTATTTTATTAGTCAATTAAAGTTGCTGGTTTGCTGAGAGTCTTCTCATAAGTGTTAGTTGTATAATTTCCTGTTTAAGAGACTGAAAAATTTATAGTCAAGATAGTTTGGATTGATATTGTGTGCCTTCTTATTTATTCCACCTAAAATCTGGTATGGATGTATGTGCATGAAATTATTGGGGATCTATTTTTAAATTTTCCTGTCTCTCCATATAAATTATGGATTTAATGCATGTATTCGAAATTTTTGTATATGCTATGCAAATAAGTCATAGCAAAATCTTTCTCATTGATTTCCTTTTCTGAAATTAGCATCTTTGAGACATTATATTTGTTTCTAAGATTGACTCTTTTTTTGAAGTAGAGATGATTTTAAGTAGGGAAACAAGTCAACGAAATGAGTCGGATTAATCAATGCATTATATCGCATTCAGACTTTATAGGATTTATGTAATGGTTCACTTACTTAAATGTTGGGTTTTACGAGTGACATAGGTGGTAAATTGTATGTTAAAACCAAAGAGTCTTGAGCAAAATAGCTGTAAAAGTGGTTCTGTTACTGTTCCAAAATGTATTGCAGACACTAATCTAAATGCTTCACATTTAGATTAAAATTGGTTTTATTGGGACTTTTGGAAGCATGGTTGGGCTACAATTAGATAAATCAGTTATAAATTCTTACATTTCTAAACACAGCTAGGGTTTTCTTCTCCGCCGGGTCCTATACCAAAGTCTTTAGGATTGTTCTTTAACTGAAGAGGCTTATAGATGTGAAGATAACTGTAGAAGGAGAAGAGGAATTGAACTGGCTTGGGCTTTTTTGGGCATCTTCATTGCTGGTGCTCAAAAGCGTATAGATTATCTTATTCTTCCTTTCATTCATTTCATTAGCTGAAACTTTTCTTGTTTTGTAGTCCCTTCTTTCCCTCAAGTAAAGATATAATCTGATTGTCATTGCGCTATTCTGGATTTTTACTTCATTTCTGATAGCACACATTGCTTCGATTTCCAAGAAAAACTTTAGGAATACTTGTTTGGAAAAACTAGGAAAAGTACATGTTTCTCACAATGTTAATCTAATATATATGCATTTACTAGTTTTTCTAGTAGCATTTGAAGGTTCATTGTTTTCATTTCTAGAAAATTTACAGGATTCAAATAGCCAAAACAGAACTAAATGAAGTGGTCTACCATTGATGTTTGATTACTTCCTTTCCCGTCGTGATTTAACTCCAACACAAGTGTTTCCAGAACATTTGATTACCTTAAAAAGAAGTTTCCAGAAAATTGAGATCATCATTTCTCCAATAAAAGTTGCATTCATGAGTGATGCAATTTATGTTTTCATACTTTAATAGGTTTAAACACATGTTTCTGTTTCATTGGACATGTATTTGTTGGTAACTGCATTGATGAGTCGAAGGAATAGTTGAAGCAAGTGATGCCCTTCAATATGAAGAAGGCTTAAAGTGTCTTGCACTGAATTTATTCTTAAAAGTAGTTAATAATAGTTAGCAATTAATCTGACATTATTTTGTATTTGGCTGTGGGTTTTATCAGTAGTGATACTAGAAACTGAGTATCCTGTTATTGGATCTTTTATCAATTTGAAAATCCAGGTTTTCATGCAGTGAATTGTCTAGTTCATAATGATCAAAGTGTTTATAAGTCTGGCTTTCCCACAGACATTCATCATGCTACAAACAATCTTGCTAATTTATGGGTGTTTTAGAAGTCATTTGAAGTTGCTTGGGATATTGGTATTCTGGAAGTAGAGAGAGAGAGGAGAGACCTGATCGACATTGTCACAGTGAGCTCTCGAGTGAATTTTTGAGGCTGCTTTATATGCTGAGGGAGAGGATGAAGACGTCAATTGTTTTACTAAATCTAGTTTCTAAATCAAGGTTAGAATGAAATATATGCAGCAAAGGGGGAAAAAGGAGAAAACAGCAAATGTATGGAACAGAAAAAGTAGTAGTTATGACATCCTTTCTCTAAACCTTGACAGTGCTAATTCGAAAGACAAGAGTAAAAACATTGAGGTTGGTCTAGTATGACACCCAATTTTAGAGCTTGTGACTTTTTCCTTGGGGGTAGGTAGGGAGGATGCTGCCCTTCCCTTTCCCCAAAGACAAAAGAAAATGAAAAGATCAAAGGAATATGGAGAGTGGAAAAATAGAATGCAGAGAAAATTGAAAAGCTACGTCTTATTGTTGATCTACACTAACTTTGGACAAGTAATATTATGATTAGGAATTATAAAGCTAGTTGTAGTTATTGAAAATTGATGTTGTAGTTACTATATCTAGAGCTTAGCCTTCTAATGCTGCCTGTGTGAGAAGGATATGTAGCACTGGTTGTTCATCAGTTTTATTCCATATAATTTGTAGCAAGTTTTTTGAGGGTAAACCAATTTTACCTGGCATGTAGAGCAATGGCATTTGGAACAAGTGAAATCAACAAAATGGACCAGTCAATTGAGCCTTCAAAAGTAAGTTCTCCTGCAGCAGAGGGGAATAAGCTGGGACTGGTGACACTTTGGAGGACCAGATAACAACACCAGAAGAGAAGATGAAAAATACTAGAAACAAGTATGCTGTACAGTTTGAAACTTCATCGTGAGTTTGAGATTGCAAGAAAAGATTAAAGAAAATATTGCTACACATTTTGTAGTTTTGAGAAGGACACATTTTTCTTAACCTATTATCTTTAGTTACGAGGGGGAAAAAGAGAAAATCAGTGTAAATTCTCTAATGCAAGTTCATAGTCCATTGATGCATTCCGTCTGTGTATTTTTTCCAGGCGTACAATCCATGATGAACAAAAAGCCAGCAGTACAATAAACAGTGATAACTCCAGGATACCTAGAACGAATTCTATCTCACATGAAGATGGATCATCCTGTCATCTCTTATCTGGAGTTGTAGCGAATCTCAAACTGCCTACAGAAGAGAATGGAATGTCGGCAGGCATGGCCAATAACTGTAAACTTGCGCCTTCGACCGTTTTGTCTGCTAATTACATAACCAATTGTGTTGCCAAAGACACATTATTCAATGACAAACGATGAAACCCTGACGCCATTGCAAGATTTGGCAACATCTGATCCAGGAAGTAGGTTTTGTAAGAACTATCCCGAAATGGAGAAAAATTGTGGCAATATTTTCTCTACAAATCTTCTTAACATGACAGAAGGATCAGGAGTCACAGAAAAAAATTTAAAGGAAAGGGTACTCATGCAGTTGGAGCATCTGTTGCTGCATATTGTGTAGCTGAACTTTTAATGGAGAAAGCAGTAATGATATGAAAAATCAAGGAAGGATTATCTCGGCAACAGTAGATGTCAATCCAGGAGCAGAAAAAGATGAAAGTTTACCTTCAACAAAACCAACTACGAGATGCAGCTCTACTAAAGATAAAAGGTCTTGCAATCTTCACTGCTCTGGATCTGGAAAGGGTTATTATAGTATTCTTTCCTACTTTTTCTGTTGTTTCTTGTTTTACCAAGTATTTGAAATATTGATTTCAGTAAATCTGTGTACCACCAAAAAAGTTGAGGAAATGTGAGGCATCTGTTCTTACTGGACCTAATTCAAACAACAAGCCTTCAGATATTACAGGTACAGTTTGCCATATGCTCTTGTACATTCATTGAAATGTATCCAAAAAATAAAAGACCTTATTTTTTTTTATTCTGCTGCCTGGTTGGTGTCAGGAGCTTTGAAAGACTATTTTCATGTTGGAGTTTGTCTAGAAAGTTAGATGTAGAAATATTTTCACCAGCAAAACCCTCTTTGGAAGTTGATGGGATCAAAGCTGATGGTCTGTTTTCATGATGGTTTTGAATGATTTAGGAGGCATATCTGAGTGAATGGAAGGACAATATCTCTAGCCTGACCTGACTGTCCAATAAGGTCACTTTGATACAAATTGCTTGATGACGTAACAAGCATATTTTTTTCTTTTAGAAAGATCAATTCATGGAGCTATCACGCTTCTTTTTTCTTAAACTGACTCAGTCAAGAGGTAATTGATATGTGAAATTTGAGTACTATTAGCCATCTAACATCAGCATTATATATTTGGAAGGCTGGATAGAAGCAGCGGAAAAACTAAATACGCTTGTAAATTTTCATGGTTTGGGGTAGCCTTCCGGTGACTTCATGTCCATTTCTTCTAGGAAATATGTAAAATTGGAGCGAATTAGCCTTCAGTTGTGTGAACGTCCAAAAAAAGAAGGTTCTGAGCCTACACATAGATAATTCTGCTATGGTTCAGTAATTGTGTCTCTCTTATGAGTCCAAATCTAGGTTGGTCCATGCATTTGACTCTTGAAGGATGGCAAAGAAGGGGCTGGCCTTGTATATAAGTGGAAGGGCTGACCCTAAAAGAGAGGTTGCTAGCATGAATAGAAATGATTATTGTGTCTTTCAATAGAAAAGTGAATTCAAGGTGCCTGTGAAAGGCAAAATAAATGATGATGCGCTCTAGATGAGGTTGTTTGAGAATAATTGCTGATGAAGGTCTTATCCGTAATCTAACAAAAGGACTTGTCCTGGTTAAAGTAAGAGTTGCTAATGATCATGCAGGAGTAGTTTAGGAGTGAAGAGGTACCTATATTTGTTTTTTACTTAAATTTTCCTTGAGGACAAGATTTATTTGATGAGCTGATGTAGTTACCCCTGCAATCATATGTATTTCTCTGTCGAATGCTGTTCACAGCCATGATTCCTAGTCAGCTTTCTGTCTCACGTGATTTGCGTCATTTAGCATTTGAGTTCAAGAAGGAAATATTGCTCATAGTAACTCAATGCGACCTAGAATTGGACAGAGTGGAACCATGCCATGTGCATTTTCCACATCTAATCTCCTTTGTATGAGTTACACCTAGGCATTTTAGTTGATAAAGTGCTGGCCCAAGGGCACTCTTGAGGTGGTTGTGTGGATGGGATTTCTTTGTCATGAGCTTGTTGCTTCAGGACTTTAAGTGTAAATACTGTTTCTAAGCAGTGGTGTTTGTCCTATATTTCAAGCTAAGTGCTTGGCAGAGTAAATGTTCTTGAAATACTTACCCCATAATTAAATTACAAAACATGTCAAAGATACTGACTTTTCGTTAGCAGTGGTAAGTTTTCAACCTTCTGAAGTTTTCTCCTTTTGCACTTAAAGCGCTCTCTTTGAAGAACAAAAGGAGATGGCACTAATTGAGTGAAATGTACGATTGATATTTTAATTAATGATTGAAAACTTTGTAATTTGGGATTTACATTGCTGAAAAGGAATCAAGACAATGGGCTTATGGAAGCACTACGTGTGGTACATTATGTTGACTTAATATCAGGGACCTTAGAAGGATGTTAACAGGACGTATATGCCTGAATTCATAGTTTTAAGATGTTCAATTGTAAAGAAAATAGGGAGAATAATTAACACATAATTGATAAATCTGCCACTGTGGATGGGAATATGGAGTTAATGATTATGTAGGGGTAAGTATCAGGTCTGATTTACTTGAACTTTTGCTCGTGTTAAAAAAGACATTTATTTGAATTTCTGTCTTCTATGATGTTTGTAGTTGCATGCAATATATTGTTGCTTGTGTCTTGGTGACCTGGTAGTTTCTAGTTCTACAGGATTCTTCTGTAGTTTGCAACGTTGCATTGGGATGAACAGGATAAAGGATGACAGCATTCAGAGAAAATAGTTGACTTGTTTTGAAAACTGTATTAAAACTATTCTGAATGTACTTATCTAGGTGAAACTGATGATGATCACAAAGAATTGTTAGTGGCTGCTGGTTCAGTTCATAGTGTACGCGGTACATATCTGAATCTTATCTGTTTTCTTAGACATTTATTCTTTATACTTTCTCAACATGAATGTGATCCGAGTGATATATATGATGTACCTGCAGAAAATGCCTGCTCTTTTCCATTTTGGAAGACAATGGAGAGCTTTTTTGCTCCTGTCACTTCTCAGGACATATTTTTCCTCAAACAAGAAGTAGTACCTAAATAAATTCTCATGCCTGATATATACATTTTGTATTTTGAAGTTTGAAATTCTTGATACAGCATCTATTTCTTACACGTTCTCTTCTTTTAACAGCTGAATTTTGTTGAGAACCTGACTCAGTCTCAGATATTTGGTGATGAATACGATAGACCGGTAATTAGTTGCCCTTTTTAATACTCCTTTTTATTTTCTTTCATAAGTTTGCAATTTTCTTAATTTGTTTGGCAAAGATAGAACCAGCAAAATACAGGGACGAATACAACTAAGCTTTTGACTCAAGTAATTTGATTGTTGAGTTTATTTTCTCAGGGTGGCATTAGTAGTTCTCCTCGAAGGGAAGTCAGTAATTCAGATCAACAATCAATAACATCAACTGCTTTTGGTAGATCAAATAAGCCATCAAATATTGTTCCTCCATTGCTTCAAAGAGTCCTCTCAGCGTTCGTTAATGAAGATGGAGGTGCAGACAAATCTAGTTCAAATGAAGTAAGGATCATTTCTTTTCAGTGCATAACTGATGACCTTCATTTGTCTTCCTGTACCTACACAGGTTCTGATCCCCATTGCTGTGAGAGAGTGGAATTTGAACTTCAGCCAGAGTTAGATATGCAAGCTCAGAAGTATTCTTCTGTGTACAGATTATGTTCTAATAAAAGTGCTTCATCAAGTACGTATAGCACAGGAAGTGTATCCAATACTTTCAGCAATCAAGGGCGACTGCAAGCAGATGAAGGCTTGTCCTATTCAAACGCAGGAATTTTGCATGGGAATAATCAAAATGATCCAATTTTAACACATGCTTCACAAGTAAATGCACCTCCAGGTTTTCCTTTTAATTGTCCATATCAGATGCTGTCTCCCAATGACAAACTATCTCTGGAACCGCGGAGCATTGGTTTAAATGCGGTAAGGATTTGACTGATCAAAGCTCTTTTCATTTTGGTCCGACCATTTTTCTAATTCGTCCTTTTCTAACAGCCTCTTCTAGACGGTAGAGAAGGATGGATTGATCGAGAAATTAAGCAACTTAGAGGGGAGCTGTGGCAAAAGGTTAGAGTGATTTCCTAAGTTTTTCAGTGGTTTTATATCTTAAAGTTTGCCATATTCACTAGCACCTAGTTATACTGTTTTGATCTCTCTCTTTTTCTTTTTTTTTTTTTTTTTTTTTAAAGCTTCTCAGTAGATAATTTTATGCGACTCTGTTTAGGAAAAAGCATGGTAACATGCATTTTGTCCCTTAGTGTCAAATTTGTCATCTTTCACAATAACTTGATAGGTGTCAAATTCTTTCATCCCTTACAACAGATAATTCAATCTTGATAGGTTTCAATGGTGAAGAATAACTTGAGGAAAATTGGAAAAGCTATTAAATGTGAGCAAGACTTGGAGAAAAGGTATGGTCACACACTGTTTAAGTCTGAACTGATATCAGGTAGCTCATTCATTTGTATATGAGAATAATGAGGTTTTTCTTTAGGAATCTTGAAGAATCTGCTATGGATCAGCTGGTTGAAATGGCCTACAAGAGGATGGTAATTGAGATAAGCTGATTCCCATGTTTTAATTTAGAATTTTAAACGATCAGTATTTGATTATCTAGTTCAGGTCTATAGATGAAACTTTGTGTCTTCGTCACTTCCTGGTTACGTGAACCATAGGTGCTACTAGCTTTTTATAAGTGCAAATTGCCTACTAATATCTGGATTGTGGGAAATTGTGATATTTTCTTTGATTATTTCATTTTGATTATGCTAGTATGAGCTCTAGTTTTAGGACAGAAAAGCGTTTAGAGTAAAGAAGCTTTAGCTCTTGGTTGATAACTATTTTTAACTGAAGGTACTTTTGCCAAGAAATTCCCTTGCCATTAGCTTTGCATTGGGAAGGAGGGTTGCTGTTTTAAGGCTTTATGTCACTGATGGCCCCATGTGCTGTGCTTATTGTGCATGTATAGGGCATGTAAAATTCTACAGTGAGGAAAGGGCATGTATGGTTCTAGAGTGAGGAAACACTTTGCTAAGACTTGCATTCTCAAGTTTGTCATCTGAATCTGGGTCATCAGTAGATTATGAGTGCCTACTAGTCCCTTCTGGTTGTTTTTTTCCCTGATTTTGCACCATACTTATTTGCCTCATGATGTGCTGTACCTTCCTGGTTCCCCTAGTCCGCACCCAAATACGGGCACCTAGTGCCATCAAGAATGAAAATGTAAAAGAAGAAAACTATTACAGCAGCAACGGATCCAAATGTCCCATTTGTTGAGGCAGATGTCATTCTGCTTAATTGTATTCGTTCTGTATAATCCAGGTTATATTCTTTGGTAAAACCCATGGCCCAGGGAGGGGGGGTGGGGGTGCCCAAACTGACATGGGAAATCTCATGTCAAAGTGTCCATACTTTTACATATCTCAAAACTCAAAACATAATACATTATTCATCTCACTGGCCTCCGTGGATGCATTTGATTTAAATTACATAACTGGAAAGTAAAAATGAAGTGTTCTTGGGCTACTGATAAGTAACTCAAATAGTCTGTTCTAGTCATGTTGCTTGATTGTTGAAATCATTATTTAAATCATAATTTCTTTGCAAACAATTCTTTTTTACTTTTGTTGCATTCTTGAATATTTTTATTTTCTTTACCCAAATCAAGGAACTCCAAGGTCATTGTTGATCGAATCCCCTCTATGTCATGGAGTCACTTTGAGCCTTATTATTCAAATCAAGTATCTTTTTCAGTTCCAGGGTGGTTGGCGAAGCAAGTCTTCAAGGATTCGTAAAGTCTCTGAACGAGCTGCTTTGCCCTTTGTCAAACGCACTCTTGCTAGGTGCAAGCAATTTGAAGACTCAGGCAAGAGTATCTTTGGTCAGCATGATCTACTGAGCAGTATCTTATATAAACCTTCAACTGAGAAAGATCCAAGGCCTATTGAATGTGATGGCTCTGTGATACTTGATAACAAATGTAAACGAGCTCATGGCAAAGCAAAGCGCAAATGTTCAGGTACTACTTTGTAAAAGTCTCTTCGTCATGAAAGAAATACCAAAATCTTAACATTGTCTTTAGATGAGGATATATTCAGGCAAGAATGTATTCAGTCAGTGTGCTTTGCTGAGCGGTATCTTGTATAAACCTCCAATTGAGAAAGATACAAGGCCTATTGAGTTTGATGGCTTTATGATACTTGATACAAATGTAAAGAAGCTCGTAACAGAGCAAGATATTTGGTAAAATGAATGACAAAGTTTGCTTTTTGCTTTATTGTGTAGTCAACAGTCCAGTTTGACGCCAAAATATAATTTATTTTTCTTCTGGCGCTAAACAGCAGTTTTCTTTATTGGGCTATTCCAAATAATTGAGTACTGATTTTCAGAGATTGGTCCTGCGTTGGGTGCAATTCAGAGGCTTGACTCTCAGAATAATAACATGCAGAGAGGTTCTTCTGGGTTACAGGAGACTTCAACTCCATTAGACCCTGTAAAAATCCTTGGTGAGACTGAAGATCTTGGTTCTTTGTTGAAATTTGATGAAGAAGGCTTGTTAGATGGTGACTGTATAGGACTTGACGTGCCAATTCAGAAGTGGAGATGTTTCTGTAATGTTCTGCTTGTGAAGTGGCTGAGTTCTACTTTCCTCAGCATGAAGATTATTCCTTGTCTTTTCTTCTGCAGAGCAATTCCTGATTGATACAGATTTTAGGGTCTTCTTACTTCTTGGGGTTAGAATTTTTAAATTCCTGGTTAAGTCTTGTTTGCGGTATTGGAATGTTATTCTGACTGTTTGAACTCGAAATAATTTGACACTTTATCAGATGCTTGAACTCATTGAAATTCAAGATTGTAAAAATCTGGTCCGTTACTTGCTTGTCTTTCCAAAGTTTCCAAAATACCATGTGCCATTTAGGCTTCTCACCTGCATATAATCCCTCCTTATCAGCAAACAGAATCGCTGTCCTTTAGGTTCCTTGAATCTTCTTCAGTTTTTACTTGAAAAAAGGCCTTTGAGGTATGTGGTGGCCCTTGAGGTTGTAATAAAGTCGCAAAAAATTATCTGTGGCTTCCCAGACTGAAATGATCTCAGATTCAAGTCCCCTACTATGAATCACCAATGGTTTTGTTGTCAAACAAATAAGGCATCACTTTAATTTTCTCTTAAGCTTAGTTATTTGGTTGTAAAACTTTATGTAGGAAGAAACCAATGTTTGGTTCCTTGAGTCTGTGATTCCATTTGAAGTTGCAAATTGGTCCATATATGACTTGATATTCCATTAATGTGACTTCTCTCAAATGCCCATGTAAATAATTCTGATTCTATTACATCTGCTACATTTGAGAATTTGGATTAGAATGGTTGCAAGTAAATCATTTAGAATCAACATATACACATAACTAACGATTGTACTAACTCAAATTATGCATGTATAAATTTTAGTACTGCAAGTAAATTTTACATAATATTTTTGGTGTCTCACCATAAAATAAAAAAAAAAAAAGCGTAACTCAATAATTTGTGTCATAAAATTTTTAAATTTTTGATTGACGGTTCAATTTGGATTGCTAATCTTAATTATGGTCATTCAAAAGGGACATTTGTATGTGCTCCTGGTTATCTATATTTTGATATACAATTGAAAGATTGGAGCACTTCATAAGTTTTTAATAGAAGAAGACTGTTTCTACATTATCTAGCAAAGATGAATTTTCTTTTTGTTTCGAGTATTAACTTTTAAATTAAATTCGCTTTAAACCACAAATACCATTAGAATTTCGTGACCAAATCTGTCACCCACGGTTTAGAAACTATTGGGCCTAACATGGTCTTAACGGATTGATACACAAGAAACTGCTCTTTAGTTTGCATTATGTGAAAATTGCTTCATTTTATTTCTGTTTGAGGATCTTAACAAGTTATATTCTTAATGTTCTATCTCTCCTCAAGCCCTTTTTATTCTCAATTGTTAGTTTAAGATTCGAATTCCGAACCTTGATAGTGAGAGAACTTGAAGAGCCCTTCCTGGCTATTGAGCAATTCAATGGTTTTCTATATATATATATATATTAAATGAAGATGTTGTAAGTAGAATTTTTCTACTTTTCTAAATGCTTTAACTTGATTAATTGTGCATGTTGTCTATTTGATTCTATATATTTGTTGGTTGGTACATCCAATCAAATTCTTAACCAACTGGGCTATTATATGAAAAGATTCTTTCCTAAAGATGCTGTTCATCATTATTTTATTTTTAATCGAGCTTCATAATATTATATTTACACAATGTTAATCTTAAATAGTTGGTTTTGAATCATGATGGTTTGTTTATTTAGTGGTTGTTGCAATCTCTAAGTACATGAATATTGAGAAGGCTATCTGATTGGATTAGGTTTTGTAGTCTATGTTTAATCAAAGTAAAATTGATTAGTATCAAGTGATAAAGCACTTTTCTTAAAAAAAAAAAAAATGCCAAGGATTAACGTCCAATTGTCTATCTTATAGTCCATTCTTCTTTGTTTGAAATAGTAGAATATATGTATTAAACAACTTCCCAAAAAAAAAAATATTCAGCCCGCTTAGAGCTTCAAAGCTTCAAATGGGAGAAGAAATTAGTTAGAGATTATATATTAAAGAACGATGTGTTTAAGACGTATTTCAGGTGTTAGATTTTTAGAAATATAAGATTAATTAGGGAAAACATATAATACAAGGGATTAATTAGGAAAAGTGTACAAATGCAAGAGAAAATAATAATTTTTAGGGTGTGTATATACATGATAAGATAGGATGGAATGTAGGTATGTTAACGTATGGTCACCCATTAGAAAATTCATTAGAATAAGAGCATTTGGTCAACTGTTCAGTCATTCTCAGAAAGGAAAGGAAGAGAAAATTTTAACTGCTCAAACACTACCATCTGGCAATTTCTTATTGTTTTTGCCAATTAGTTTAGCATGGACTATTGTCATTTATAACAAAGGAAAATGGAAGTTCCTTTCGAATTTATCTGCTGTTGCGTATGTGATAGGAACTAGTACTAGTTTTATAGACAGTTAATTGAAAGAGGTTAAATGTATGCAAAGCAAACAAATTAAGTAACTAAAAATAATTGTCAATCTTGTGCTTGATTACTTTGTGACACATAGATAGCATTGTCACTATCTACATACCAAATTCAACTTGATGCAATATTTAAGTCATTCTCCAAAACAAAAAAAAAAAAAGAAATCAAGAAAGTGAAGACCTTGACTATCATTTTTCACTGTAGTTTCACATATAATTCATTAGGAATTTAGTTACAATCTATGTGTTTAACTAACTAAATCCTCGTTGTGACATATGATGGAGTTCAAAGTCTTCTTCTCATGCTCATAAAAATGCTTGTGGATTGCCATCTCTTTGGATACTCAGCCTAAGATGATTAGCTTGCAAATCCAAATTGTAGCATCCTTTCTAAATTGCCAAAGGCTAATCAAACCCCAAAACAAAGGCTTAAAAGGAACATATATAAGAAATGAATGACAACCCCCTTAACGTTTTGTCTGTCTTTCAGGAAACCATTTTGACAAATTTTCCTTGGAAGCAAGCTCCAGAGGGAATTAATGACCAGTTGGCTCCAAAACTAGTATCATTCAATGATCTTTTTTTAAGAAAGAGGATGTCCATAACAAATAAGAGTAAATCTTATATATTCTGTCACAGTTGAATATGTGACACATATGCAAAATTTATATTTTAAATTTAAATTATGTGTCATGTATTCAATGATGAAAGTGTACACACTGTCGTGTCGGTGTATAAAAAGATTAATTCAATAAATAACCAAAAAAAAAAGGTAAATTGAAAGATTGTATAGTACATGCTTATCTACCTCGATGTTGCTATATGATTGGTTATTCAACAATTTGTCGGCATTATATTAAGCAATCAAAGGAATCTTATTGATCATTCCTGAATAATAGTTAAACCGTTTTGGATATGTGTCTGATATTGGATTTGGTGCCCTTTTGCTTTAGATCTTATCATTTCTTTATGAAAGGTCAGGTGAGCTTTTTGCAATCACAGTAGTCCATGTCAAACAAGATGTACTATAAAGATCATTTCATCTACAATTCAAATTGATGAGTTTAGCTATACATGCAATTTCTTTCTTTCTTTTCCTCTTTTTGGTGGGGAAGTTTTGTATAATTCTTTGGTTAAGTTGAAAACGAAGAGGGTCAACCTAAAATTTGTGGGATGAGCTGTGCTTTGGATTTCAAGCTGCAAATTTTGTACGTTTTAAACCAAAAAATATTTTCACATTTTTTTTTATAAAAAAAATCATCATTCATTAAATCTGCAGTAATGACAGAAATTATATCAACCATATACAGAAGCAAATAGATCTGAAGAACAAAACTAGATACTACAGATATGAAAAATTAAGAGAATGTTACATTAAAAAGTTAAGTATTTTTGAGTTTCTATTTTCACATTTATGTCAATGAAAAAAAAAAAGAAGACTATCCCTTTTTGTTTCTTTTGGCAAAGTGATCAAGAATGTTCCAATGTCACAACAACATAGATATTATGACTTGGCAACAGGGAAATCCAGTGGTTACTTGCTAAGTTAAGTTCCAATTTGCTTTCCTTTCTTGGCTCGGTAGTAAGTAAACTTGTTTTTGTGGACCACAAGACACTTAAATTGCTTTTCCAACTTTTATTAACCCCAAAAGGCAATGATGAAAGAATGATTATATTTGGTTAATCAAACCTAATTTGCAAATGACGTATTTGATTTATACCCAATAATTTTCTAGGGTTTACAAAAGCACGCTGATAATGACGGGATATTACCGACCTTTCTCTTTATTTTATGTTGAAAAAATTGCTTGTCATGCTAACCCAAAAAGTAGAGGCCGAATAGAGTCCATTAATCACACATTAATTTATACGTTAATCTCTTTCTTTGACGAATCCAACTTTTGACAAAGAGATTTATCGGCCAAAAGACCAACATGTTAGTTAATGTCGTTTGTCGTTTAATTACTTTTTATCAGCAAAATCGTTTGAAATTGCTCCTCCTAGTTATGGTTGATGTCCTTTATAAGCCACTTACACCGACTTGACAAATAAGTCAAATTAAGCCTCTTGATGAGCCATTCTTAATCACTCTTTGCACATAATTCTTTCTTAAAAAGTTTTCAATGTCCATGTTTTCACATGTTGTAAAACTCTAAAGCAGATTTGATCAAAATGATGGATCCGGGGTTGAAACTTTTGTTACTGGTGAAACCGTTCGGAGCAGTTTCATGCATTTGAACAATATGTAAATGCATTTATTCAATGTGTAAATCAATTTGAATACAATGTAAATTTAGTTCATCTTTTATGGACTCCACGCACATTGTTAATTAAAATGGATGTACAACTTGTAAATTAAACCATACAATCCTTTCTTGATCGATGGAGGCTGTGAAATGTTTTAGGAACCGCTTGCTATTGAAGCCATTCCTGCCCCAAATCTCAAAAGCATAGACTTGACAAATTCAAAAACTCATTCAACATACTACTGGTCCGGTTGCATACAATTGGTAGTTCTTGGTGTGGGGAAGAAGAATTCTTCCTTACTGTGCACGTAATCTAGTATGGCTGAGAAAAAGCTGACAATGCAAAAGTTCAACTCTTCGTCTTTTAATAGATCTATAGCATTAAATTGGCAAATACGAACAGAAAGTGTTTTTGTTTTAGCCATTGTTTGAAGAAATACAAACAAAATATATTCGACCAATAGTTTGGTAGAAACCCAAGGCCTTCTCCGATATAGAGAATCAAATTAAGTTGCGAATTTGGATGCAGTTAACTAACCCCATAATTTACGCACTTAGAATCCTCTATTCCGTGTTTATACAGTTGCCATATGTATTAATGCTTGATAACTCAACGAGTCAAAGGTTTGCTTGAGTTATCAATGCATCAATACACGTGACAACTGTATAAACACGGGACAGACGGGATAGAAGGTAATTTCAGGATAGACGATTTAAACCTAATTTACGTTGTCTTTCTTAGCAAATTATAATGGTATCCAGTAATTCAAAATATATGTGAAAAGAATATCCTTTGTTCCATGAATTCAAATTCAATTTTTGGTAATACAGCCAAAATGTCAAAACAGAACTTGAATCATATAAAGGTGATCACGTACGTCAAGAAACTGAGAAATTCTCTTATGCCAATCTTTCGGACCAATGTGTTCTAGCTAGCTTTCTCTGAGCTAGCTAGCTAGCATACATCTCCTTGATATATATTATTTTCAAAGCATTTAGTCAATAACTACTAGGGTTGATCTAGTGATCAGCTGAGAGTTTTTAAAGTTCTCTCTGCAGCGAGATTGTAACAATATTGACGTACACTTTCATGGAAGACAACACTATATAGCCCATCAAGTTATGAGTTTTTAAAACCACTTCTCTTTTCCCCCTCTTCGAAAATCACTTGTTTTCAGTGAAGCTCTAGAAAACAGAAACAGATCGAATGGTAATACGACATTAGACAATGTAGCTAGAAGCATAAATCTAGCAAGTAACGTCCCTAGATCCTCAAACATATCAACTGAGCTATGGAAATTAATATCCTAGTGAACACAGCCCAAATGTGAGGTATTCTCTCTTTTATGTCCGGATTTTGTTTGACTAAGAACAGAAACAGAAAAAGGTAATTTGTTGTATCTGAATATTCAGATAAATCTCTTTATAGCCTTTTGTCCACCTTGTTTAAGCGATCGATAAAGATTCTTCTAAATTACACGATCAAAATTTGCAATTGGAGACTAAATAATAATGATGACATTTTTTAGCCTTTTCTGTCGAGCTGCCAACTAAATCAAGAATTTTCATGACTTAGCTTCCAAATGTGATTTTAGAAGATTTTCTTGCAGAAATATGGAGATCGGTTCTCGATTGCTTATAGCTCTTCCAAACTTGTAAAAAAAGCTGTCATCTATTATGGGTAATCAAAATATTGTTACTTTGCTTATAAAGAATCTTATTGAAAACAGTTTTTTTTACAAAAAATAAAAATAAAATTAACAGACTGAAAAAGAAACAAAAACCAACGTCTAGTTTGAAAGTATGTTGATATTAATTCAGATTTCAGGTACAATATCTCTTGTAACAAACAAGTAGTGGGAAAGCAACTCATTCATTCTCAAGCATTTAGTTTGCTTCAAGAAACATGAAACTAAGCAATTTATTAAATTTAAAAATTAGAAAACAATTTTGTCAAACCTCAGCTATTTCGTTGTGTCCTTGATTTCCTCAATTCAATAAATGTGCAACCGAACTTCTTCTGTCCCTTTGTGCATTATTTTTTGTGTTTATCGTCAAATTTTATGATTAAAACCACGAAGGGGACGAGTTTCTCTCTTATCTCTCTGGTATTTGCAATAAAATATCCACCTCCATGAAAGCCATGCAAGCACAGAGTAGCAAGCAATGTTCATCCCGGCCCCTCTTCCTACTTCTGCAAATTTCCTACTCGAAAGAAGACAATATGCATCTAACTTCCTTTCTCTCCTTTTTCTTGTCCTTTGTACTTTAAGATAATCTTTATCACAACCACCTCAATTAAATGAAAAGCTGCAACCACCCTCTCATCCTAGTTTTTTCCTAGTTGATTTTCTAAATTGTTGTGTCACAAAGAGGTCCAACCCCACCCCATCCCCACAACCAAGAAAACAAAAATTAAAAATAAGGGAAATGGGGCAAAAAAAAATTTTTTTTAAAAAAAGAAACAAGAAAGATATCATCCTTTCCCTATATACTTAGTATATATGTTACAATGCAAAAAATCTCCAACACTTTTTTCTTTCATGCAAAGAAAGTAGACTCATTTATAGCTAAGTATCAGCTAGCATTGCACTCTCGAGGCCTTCACCTTAGTCCTCATTTCTAGCTTAGGACTAGAAAAGAACTTGATTGAATATGATGTTACATAATCGTCTAGAAATATAGACATTTTAAAATTGTTTTTTTTTTTTTATAAATTAATTCATAAGGAGCTTCCTGATGCAGATAGATCTGATTTACATTTACAAGATAATAATACAAGTCAAGGATTTTAACAAGATAGAATTTTCAAGAAATGCTACTTCCTCTAAAGTATATAGATTGGGAAGCCCTAAAGCTAAGAGGCATGGGAGGAGGCTATGGGATTTGAACATCAATACTCTATCAGGCTACTCTGAGCTAGGATATATCAGAAGTTGGCGAATTGATTCTGAGAAGATTGTACCATCTGCAAATCGGTGGTTGTTTGGCAAGAGTTCTCATCACCAATCATAGTCCTGGCAATTATTGAGATCAATGATTGATTTATGACATGCATTAAAAATTGTACATATATAACTAAACAACAGCAATAAATAAAATTAAAAGTGCTCCACACAGCAACATTATTTCAAGATGCTTTAATGATTTCCATTGTCTGTCAAGTTTTAGATGACACTACGTACTAACTTTTTCTTTTTAATACATTTTTTAATTTAAGGAGAATATCTTTTTCTTCTTCATTATGACTCAAAAAAAAAAATAGTCACCTTATGAACCTCTTAAAAAAATGGCCACTCAACATTTTTATAAAGTTTATAAACAAGAATTGGCTTGTGATTGGGGGAAGGGAGTGTAAGTTAAAAATTCTGAGTTCGAAATCCTACTTACACTAAAAAAAGAAGAAGAAGAAGAAGAAGAATTAGCTTGCAATTAGTTGTATTCCTTGATAATCTTCTACTACTTGAGCATTTCCCTCAAAGGGTTTGCAAATCTTAAGTAAAACTTTTGCCATTTGCATGTTCTCTCTAACAAGGAAATCAAACAAAACATAAAAAGATTTCTTTAACAAGCTCCTGATTCTAATTAGTTGTTGATCTATGTCTGGAAGAAATAAAATCAGAAAAAAAATTCATCCGTTTTATCTTACTCTCTTGGCCGTGATGCCCAAAGGGAGCTAAGTGCTCGGAGTCGACCATAGTACTCTCCAATGACCAAAAAACATCGTGCCACTTGTCGAACTGTCAATATTCGCAACAGATGATGAAGAGTTTGCTGTCTTAAATTATCGGCCTACAATTCAAATTAAGATTTCAATTTCAATCATGGAGTATGAAGAACATAGGCAAACATAAATGCAATCAAATAAAAATGTAACGCAAAACCCTACGACGACACACCACCATGTTGTCATATATAATGCACAGGCAAGAAGAACTCCAAAAGTTGTAGCAAAAGAGCTGAAATCATGTACGTGGTTGTTTCATTCATAGGATTTGGACTATTTTGGTGATAGATAGATTAAGAAAATGAAGGTTAAGTTTTGAGTTGTCAACTAGCTAGTTCACAATATTCCAAATCCATCTGTAGAAAATTTGGTCGAGTGGTCTAGTAAGGGTTTTTATTTCAACAGTTGTCCCTTTCATCCACCATCTGATAGCAACACATTTTGATGGAAACATTGCATCAAATAATGTCCTTTTTGCACAGGAGCATTCAAAATTAAAGAAAGGGACAACATTTAAATTAGTAAAATCACGCCTTAATCGACAAGGCGGGGGTTGTTAACCACAAATTATTCCAGTATCAGGATTAGCAAGGGATGACGAAACCATGACCTATATATATATATATATATATATATATATATATGGAAGTTTGAAAAGAAGTTTCTATGTCAATCCCTAAACTAGACTGCCCCTTTTATAAAAAGGAACAAAAAAATATTCTAGCAAGGGAGGGATAGAATTTAAGAAATTGGGAGAAAAACAGGGGGATTAGAACCCAGAATCTCTACGTTTTGGTAGGGCTGCCCTTGAAAGTAATTAATAAAAACTTATTTTCTTCTAAGCAGGTGTCTACATTGCAATTATAGTGCTACAAAAAAAGGTTTAATTGCTTTAATATACTGGGTTTTGATGGAAATATGTGTCAAGTCAAATTTTTCTTGCTTTTTTTTTCCCCCAACTTTTAAACCAGTCTTTTTCTGCTAATGCCATGTTTTAAAGACATGCATATAGTCAATTACTTCACCAGGAAGTAATAATATTCACTCTGACCAAGGCCAAGGGGAAAGTTGAAAGTAGTTTTTCCTTTTGTTAAATTTAGAAGGATTGACTCCATATTGCTTTGGATAACTTTTTTATTTTCTCAAGCAGAACCAGCTCTAGAGGGATCTTTCCCCTAGAAAAAAGGGAAAAATGAGTAAAGAATTTGATACTGTTGGAAAGAAGGGACGCAATGGGTACTCCAAAGAGTGAAAAGAAAACCCGAAAAGAAAAGAGACAGAGTTAAAGAAGCCAAGATAAACAAGGCCCACTCCCATGCCTCCTCTACAACCTTTACAAACTCTCTTTTTATCTCCTCTTATCTTTCGGGTCATATGGATGCACAAGAACCATTGCTTATTATTGAAATTTTCTTGAATGGATCCACAGATAATTTACACCAAAGTATGGCCATCCAAACGGAAGACTGATGTGATATCGCACTTGTCATAACTTTAAACGAGAAGGATGTTGCATCAGGACACGAGAGTTGATTAAGATTTCTGCCAATTTTGCTCGTTCAGAATTAATGTTTTTCCCCGTTCATGCATGTGACAAATCCTAGTTCCTAAATGCCAATCACATATAGAATAAATACTGGGGAAAATGCCGTAAATTCGTTTTACCTGACGGACAAAACCTTCAAGATTGGTGAGCTTGCCTAAGGCAACAGCCATGTGATGCATCCCATCATTGACAGTGCCACCGGCTATGGTTTCAATCAGAGACTGCTGCAATTGTTCCAATCCTTGCGAGAGAGCCTCCTCGCTTGTTGCGAAGAATGTTGAGACCATATATCCCCACAACTTGCTGCTCCGTTAAAGGGTCTAGTTGCGTTATTAACATCTGACAACAAATCAAGAAAGCCGTATACAAACGTAAAATGGATTTGTGTGATTGATTTAGCATATGTAAAAGTGGAAGGATGAAAAGCAAACCTTGATTAGCTCAGAGGGACGAAAGCCGCCCATCCAAAGAAAGCATCTTTCGGCTGGTGTAGTCCACATTCCAGTGATGAGATGGAATACATCAGATTTGGCTGCTACTCCCTTGAGGCGGAAAATCTCGTCATAATGTGCAATGTATCCATCAAGTATCACCCTCATATCACCATCTGATAAGTGAGCTTGCAAAGCAGTTCGAAGCTCTGACATGTGCCTGTGATCATCATCTAGCCATCTTGCATATTCCATATCGAATATCGCAGCTCCTGCATTAAAATTAAGCAGTATTGCAAGTCCTATTAGCCTTATATACACATATGTATAAGCCCACCAGTATACTTCCTTGAGCTTTTTATTTGATTGTTCAAGCATAAAATGAATTTGTCTGATCATTTTTGTCCTGAGAGTGGTTGCATTGACAGAATTAGTAGTGAGATTTGCAACAGTTTTTTGCTCCAGGGAAACTGTTAAAAATGCAAGGACATTCTTCTTGAAACATGCAATATCTATTGGAAGCCTTGTTAGCATCTAAATCAAAAAGACGATGGAATTAAACAAATTGTGGTCATAGTCATTCTCATATGCCAGGTTACTAAGATTTGACATGTGACGTTTGACAGATTTGACTATTGGCTCATGGATAGAAATTTCGATTAAAAGGCAGCCGGTGTCAGATTCATGGTTGAGAATATGGGATTTCATGTTGAAATGTAGAGAACAAAGTTTGACAATTTAACTTTATTCCGCTTAGCATATAGGAAGAGTATGACTTACTTTTCCTCACAAGCATAGTACCTAATTTCTACAGTGCTGTTAACATAACTGCCAAAATTTCTTCACTATAAACTTGTCCTAACCACAACTAGAATCTAGAAGATAAAAACAGGAAAAGAAAAAGAAAATCAATGGTGGATAAAGACAAGATGGTTAAAATGGTAAAATCAATTTGCAAATGATAAACTAACCTGAGCTGATGTTCCCACCAGGAGCACCACCACCACCCAAGAAAAATCCCTGTTGGTGAAAGAAAGTCAGAAACTAGTCATTCCCTCTAGTCAGCAAGAATATCAATAAAAAAAAAAAGTATTGTCCTTTTGGTTAAAAAAGGAACGTCCTTCTTAGGAACTGACCAACCTGAGCACGGGCTCGTTGAAGGTCTTGTTCAAGTTGAGTAAGCCTTATCCTGCTTGTTTCTAGCTGTTGTACATAGGCCTGCAATACAACACATTAAAAATGTCCAACTACATAAATATGGAGAATTAGGTCAGTGGAACTTTGTTACAATTTAGTAATGCCCCAATAAGAAACCAGAAAAATGGCACTGACCTTTTTTCTAAGCCTACTTTTCCTCGCAGCTTCTCTATTTTGTGCTAAACGTCTCAATGTCTGCAACCACAAAGACAATTATCAATCGTGGATGAACACTTTGGAATTTCTTTATTATTAAACTGTAATTGACACTAAAATATGGCCGAATGACTCAAAAAACAAAAGAAAAGGCCGAATGAAAGAAATTAAGAAAGACAAGGTGGTGACATATCCAACAAAAAGAAGACAAGACTGTTTGTATGGGCTTTTATCCTACGTTTTCTTGCATGCACACATATTCCATTTGAGTGTAAACTACCTTAGCATCGAGCACTTTCTCTGAAGTTGAACCAGGCCCTCTTCTCTGCAACATTGAAAAGTGAAATAAAACTATATAAAGAGAGTAGTTTGGTTGAGTTTGAATAGCATGCCTGATGTTATAATAGTAAAATGAAAAATAAGTAGTTTACGCAATAACTGCTACATTAACAAGTTAGTAGAACTTTCGTCCACTTCTAATTTTCAAAAGGGTAGAAGAAGTGAAGGGTAACGTGTCAGCAATGCAGAATCTGTTCAAAGATTTGGTCATTTTTATTCCAAAAAATCAAACTCATAATTGTTAGGTAGAGGGTCTAGAGCGAAGACAATGTGAAAGGCATTTTTCATAATTCTGATGCTGATGTGAAAACTGTTTCTTCAAGATGGTAATAATGAGGACTGATCCCATGAACTAGCTAACGTATGCTATCAGCAGCTGTGATTCTTTTCTCGGATTTCGTTTTTCTTTCCCTAATACCAAAAGCAGATAAAGCATAAAAGACAAGTAGTTAAACTAGAGTTCTTGGGATAAGAAAAGGTGGTAATTATTATCAGAACTTAAACTACAGTTATGGAAATCGAGTAAAGGAAGAGAAGCCTCTTTAGTACAAATAAGATAAAAACAAGAACAGTGATACTGCTAGTACTGAAAAAAAGATCCGCTTTTTTTGCCTCTCATGTCAGAAACTGAATCAGAGAATCACTGAGAAATCAGAAAAACTCTCAGGCAGGCTTCGATATTATTTTCTGACAATTGTTGGGATTTGTGATAATGGAGAGAGAACGGGAGAGTATAAAATTTCCTGAAAGGATGCCAACTTTTTCCTGGATTTTGGGATGTGATGACTGAAGAACTGGGAGACTAGACATGGAAGACTGGGAAAGTGCAAATAACCTTTTCAGTTGTGGGTTTTCCACCAGCTGGTTGATGATCCTGTGGCATTTCTACTCTCGAGCCATCATTAGCCATCTCTAGCTGTTGCTGTTCGTTTGGTAGCTGAAGATGCTTCTGCTCAAGTCCTTGAGGTTCCAATGATGACTTTTTGCTGATGGGGGATTCCGGTTCCAGTCTGGCCTCAGCTCTACTCGATAGTGTGTTTACTGCTGAACCTGAGTCAGTACTCTCCTCTCCAGACTTTGAACTTCCCTAAAGTTAAAAGAAACGGCCAAGAAAGCGTATTAATACCCCAAAAAATGACACCCCAGAACATTACTATGACAAGATGTAGGCATATTAAACAGAAGGTAGAAGAATATGAGAGGAGATAGTTGAAGGGAAGTACTCTAGGAGTCTGAATAAGTCTAGTGGGCCAAGAAGGGAACATTTCCAGAGTTGCTGCAGGCCTGACGGTTGCTGCATATAAAGCTGCATAGAATCACAAGCCAAATCTTCAGAAGATCAGCTAAAAATCAAGTCTTGCAAGGACTTTCAAACTCATAAAAGGGGAAGAACCTAATCTCCCTTTTTGCCCTCTTTCTCTCCTTTGTTCTTTCTGAAGTTATGGAGTCAGTAAGTAAATCATGCAAGAAGGTCAGGTTTCCTAGTTTGTATCCCCACGCCATTCAAGTTCTTTACCCAAGAATGATTATTGCATCAAAAATAGTAAGCCTTAGCCTCCCCGCTGGCCTCAGCAGACCACATATGTAGCTCCTTTTCTCTCTCTTTTTCTGCTTTAGGAGTTTGTTATACTTTGCAAACGTCAGAACAAGGATAAAATGATGGGGAAAGAAAATAAAAATAATGCATACGTGTTTTGGCTTCATCATTGTTGATCTTAACTCCTGCAGCACAATAGCCTCCTCTAGCTCTCCAAAATCAAAAGCAGATCCTTCTTGATTACTGTAGCATAAAAATATTAACACCCCATGTCAGAATAAATGCAAGACTCACAGATTATTTAAAAAAAAAAAAAAAGAGATAGACTGACAAGAAAAAAGACGAAAGAACTTAATGATCTGAGGTGATGGAAAAGTACATGAAGGATGTACTAGGAGGGTTGAGCCCACGAAAAACAGCGTAAGGCATAGTATTGTGGTGATGATGATGTGAGGGTCCTGAGTTGGAAAAACCAGCCTCACCAACTCTTTGACTCGCCATGCAAGAACCCAAAACTTCTTTATCAGACCATACTTGTGTTTCTGAAAGAAGAAAACTGCAGCAGCCAAGCGTGAGATACAAAATTTACTGCAAGACGGCTGGGAAATGAATGGTTTTAGATGGAAACAAGGATCAGGGAATGGAAAGTCGGAGTTTTCCACATGTTTCACCTCAGTTTTCTATGGGATGCACCACCAAAAAGTCCTCTTTTCTACAAGTTTTGATGCATAGAGCACAAGAAAACGAGAAGGAAAAACAAGAGTGGCTAAGAATCTAAGAGCAAAATTGCGAAAAGGATTAAGGCTAGGGGAGGGCTCCTCCAGTCTTTTGTTCTCTCAAAACATGCCCTCTCTTTTTAAACGGTCTCTAATATACTCCCTCTTGTGAGTTGTGATGACACGCCTTTTCTTGATGACCTTTCGTAGCTCTCTCTATCTATCTGCTTTTCTTTCTTCTCTCCTTCTCTGCGAAGGAAATTGTCAGATTATTCTGTTGTTTGAGTTGCTTTTATCTGCTTCTGGTGTAGATAGAAGTAACGAGGGGTCAGTATTATTTTTTTCAAAAATGAAATGAGACTCCCATCCCACCCCGGATGGTACACCAGATCTTCTCCTTGAAAAACTACTTTGTCTTTTGGCCCTAGACCTGTGGCTCTGCTCGCTCTGGCTCTGGCTCTGGCTCTGACTTTGTGACTTTGTGGGGTTTGAAAAGGAAAAAAGAAAAACACAAAAAAAAGAAGAAAATACTAGTTTAAACAAACAAATATTTTGTAGTATAGTACGTAAAAGAACCAAGGTGGGGTCTTTGGCAGGAAGTGAACCCACTAGAATCAAGTGACTCCTACTCCACTTCCCTTTCCCTAACCGCCTGAGATATGTTATTGGTCCTTCTCTAGGGGCTCTTCAGAGTTGGAAGTACTAAAACGAGGAAAACGATTAAACAAAGTAGTGCATCAATTTCAATTTCAACATTCCGTTGGAGATGAGACAATCTTTTCTTTCACAACAATGTGAAATAAAAGAAAATGGATTAATGTGTTTTCTTGATCTTTCATTGTCTTATGCAGGGTAAGAAGGGATTTGAGATACGTAACACACAGATTACGACTTACTTAATTTACGGTTCATAACGTGTCTCGTTTTATTATGTTGCTATTATCTTTCTTTGTACTTATATTTGGAAGTGCATATTAACTATGTGGCAAAGTGACTTGTCTGACTTGAATCCAAGGATAGAGGCGAGGAGAGAGGTGTGTGTTTTGACAAGTATGGCCCTAGGTGGAGAAAAAAATATATAGAGAAGATAAGTACTATTTGAGTTAAAATCTTGGCTTATAGCCTTTCAACCAAAACATTAGAATAATCACCAATGAGAAAACCTACTTGTTTTGATTATTAAGCCAAACTTTGAGATGGATTTGTTTGGTATTATCCCCTTGTGTTGAAGGGTCAACATCCATTCCCTGTCATCACCTAAAACCATGCCACAAATTGATTCCTTTCCCTTAACTGGAATTTCCATTCAAACTACTGCTATCTATTGGTACAGGTCCATGGCAGGGTGACTTTATTACATCTTCCAGATCAAGTCTTTTGGGACATGCATTAGGCATGGTTGTGTACCCTTAATAAATGTTCCCAACCACCTTCCTTAAGGATAAAGCCCCTATTCACAATCTAGAAACTGCCCTTTTGTTATCTTGAAACATATAGTCCCTTGAAGGTTTCTGTTTGCACTCTAGGTTATGGTTCTGGATATTCATGAATATCATTGATGACCAAAACATATTTATTGTGCTGAAACTTTAGATAATGGACCATAAATCTTATATATAAAGAGGTGGTGGACACAACCATGATAACTACTATTTTGTGTTCATCCATTACCTTTGCTGGTAAAATGCCATCTACCAATTATTCCTTCTCAAAACCAATGATTGACCAAGAAAAGGTTAGGTTAGATGTAGATGTTCTTCTTTCAGTTTCATGGATTAGGTACGCCAGTGATAACTTTGTATCTGATGCCACAATTCCAATATTCCTAGTAAATCCCACATGTTTTTTTTATCACTACAGTTGCCAAAGATTTAGCCATATGTAATGTATATGTGATATGGCATTTCTTGGATTTGCATTCACCAAAAATGCCCTTGTTTATTGTTTGCTTGCACCTTTGTCTGCAGGATGCTGATTGGCCTGAATGATATGTAAAGCAATTGTCAGTGATTTTGCAATCTTGTTGGACTGGATTAATTCCTTGCTTGTTCCATAAGCATGGAACTTAAACAAACTACAGGTCATGTTCATTATTGTAAAATGTTTCTTCACAAAATGACCAACTTGTTATTAAATCCTCTGTTGAATGTGCCATTATTAATTAAACTGAAGATGGCTGACCAGGAAGCTGATGTTGTAAGGGCTTGTACAATAGTATAACTGCTAGATTATATTACACGATAACAAATCTGAACTCAAGAAAGAAATAATTAACATATTCATGGAGATGAAGTACACATGATTCTCTTGAATGTCCAGTTCTCTAACTTTTGGATCAAAATTTGAAACTAGTTCTTTATACTTACAATTCCAAAGCTTGGAAGTTTTCAGTCTGCAGGTATATTATTGCTTCTTTGACCAGGACTCCTTCAATTCTCAAATACCCTTTTCCAGTCGCTGGTCAAATATTCCAGAGGAACTTGTACAAACTTCACCAAATTAAGCAGGTAGAAGAGAAGTGTTTTAGTAGTTTTAGTGCACTTGATTGTCTTCCAAAGACTTAAGCAGGATATCTTATGCTTCACAGCTTAAACTATCTTAGAATTGACAGCTGAAATTGAAAAAAAAAAAAAAAAGCCAATAATAAAAGATTGGCTTGCATTTCAGATAGGTGCATTCTGGTTGAGTAGTTGTTTCGTCACGTAGTCAAATTGCAAATGCAGTACCCTGTTAAGCTTGATTCTATTTCATGTCTAAATACAAGCAGTGATCTGTTTCTCCAGCTGTATCTATATGCTCTGTAAAACAACAGAGATATGTATATGCATGTTTACTGTATTATTAATTTATTCTAGCTTCCTAGTTGTTCAAATCTCCACAGGACAAGAACTTGATGCATATCTTAGCAGCTAGGAGAAAGATCTTATTCACTAACTCAAATAATTTTTTATCAACAGCATCCCCTAGATATTGGGCCGAATGTTTTACTCAGGTAATCATCCATCATCACAATATTCAATTAGTTCTTGAATGTACAACGTATTAAAAGATAATTGCACTTAAATGGTTAGACTGGAATTAATAATTGATTAGGAAACGACTGAAATGAACTTCTATGTTACTAGTAAAACATAGTTGCAATTGCGTGAATTGACTGGAAAATATATTACTTAATTACACAACATATTGAAGTTTTGACTCTCAGCTATTGCATTGCCGGCCAAGTTCGCAGCAATTTACAGAGATTGATGTGATTCAAGATAAAATGAAAATAAATTAGTGTTGCTAAGCAACGGATGTGCTGTGGGAACTTGTGTCATCAATATCTATCGCAGGGTTTTCAAGTATAGAATCAAAGGGATGAGACGGTTCTTGCCCAGTTTGCAGCGTTTAAGTTTATAAGAATTCGTACAGGCTAATTTGTCTAAATTGTATAAGAGGAACTAATGCCTTTTACATAGATGCGATCCAGAAGTATTTGTGATATAACAAGTGCTGTAGTAAAGGATTATATCTCACATTGGTCCGAAAGATAGAGAAAGAGAGAGTTAATACGTAAGTAATGGCCTGAAATCTAATGGTTTAAACTTTTGGATCAGAGTTATATTCCTGACTTATGTATTAGGCTCTTTGGTAGACTCTTTCAAGGTGTTTCTCCCTATCAAATTGGTATTAGAGTTTCAGGTTGTGAGATTGGACTACTCATGGACAAGTGGATTCTTCTCGGAATTGGACTGGTGAAAATTCTCGTCTTGATGGTGGATCGAAGTGCCAAAGTGCTAAGAAGTTTGGCTAGTATTGGACTAGGTGCGTCATGGGTTTGGCAAGCGGTCCAATTGGTGTTAGACCAAAGAGTCAAAGGTTGGCAAGTTCCAGAATGCACTTTGGATGTTGAACAAGAATGAGTTCATGTTTGGGAGAAGAGACGACCTTAGGTGATAAGATGAACTTGCGTTGAGTATTAAAGTGGGTTCGAAAATGAACTTGTAAATTTGGGTTTAATGCGGGGTTTACTCATGAATGGGGAGATTTGTTAAGTTCATGAGTAAAATATTATGTCTCACATTGGTCCGAAAAATAGAGAAAAAGCGGTTAATATTTAAGTAAGGTCCGAGATCTAATGATTTAAGATTTTGGATTAGATTAGGGAATTAATCGAACCGAACTGCTCGCGAGTAGCTCGCGAGCAACTCGGTCAAAAGCTTGACTCGAACTCGGTCAAACCGAATTCGAGTCCAGTTCGAGCAGCTCGATAAGGCTGTCGAGTTGAGTTCAAGCCAATGTTTTAAAAACCGGACCGTTAATCGAACCGGTGAAGTGAAAGGGTCGAGGTTCAACCGGTCGGACCGGTTCAACCTCGGTTCAATGAATTTTTTAAAAATAATTTATATAAATATATATGTGCACAAAATAAGACATGTAATGGATAATTTAATACTTTATATGATGAAAAGTTTACTATTTTTGAATAACTTGGATTTTTAAAAATAAATTTTTTAAATTATAAGTTAAAACAAATAAATTTCATCTCAATTTCAATTATATCTACCAAAAAAATCTTAAATATAATCCAAAAATATCACAATATTTGAAATTATACAAAATTCACATCTATGAGAATTTAGACATTGTGAATTTAAATTTTAATTTACATTTTGGAATTTAAATTTATAATTTAAAAAAGGAAGTTTGGAGTTCGAAGAAAATCAAGAGAATTGAAAATAGAAATGCAAATTTGATAAGAAACAAAAAATGAGATAAAAGTGAGTGGTTGTGGTATTAAATAAATTGGGTTAAAGAAAAATAATTCTTTTTTAACTTTTTTAAATTTAATGGACAAAAACAAAATTAAAATATGGAAGAAAACATCAATAAATTAAAAATAAAGAGATTTGATTAAAAAATGAGTGGCAAAAGAAAAGATGATAGAGAGAGAGTGTGTGTGTGTGTGTGTGTGTGTGTTGAAGATTAAAAAGAAAGAGTCATGAAAGAATAATATTTTGTAAAAAAAATGGAACAAAAGAAATATGAGTGTTTGTTTTATATAAATAAGTTATCAAAAAAACTAATAAGATGTGATAGTGCAACGGTTACTACATTGGTCTTCTATTACAAAGGTCTTGAGTTCGAATCTTGATAACTACATTTTGCAAAAAAAAAAAAAAAAAACTCAAAAACCGGAAATAACCGGTTCAAATCCGGTTCAGCGGTTTTTGCGGTCCGACCGGTTTTTGACCGGTTTCTTGACAAAGTCAAACCTGGCACGCAATGTTTTGAAAACCGGACCGGACCGGCCGGTTCGACCGGTTGAACCGCGAACCGGCCATTGCACCGGTCCGGTTCAATGGCATTGTTGACTTTGCTAGAAAA